GGAGTCTTCAGTGAAATCATAGATAAATAACAATTTTAATTATAATTGTCAAATAATCAACTTATGTAGATGTTAGTGCTTGTAAATGTCAATTTTATGCAGAATGTTTATTAATAAAAGTGGGTAAGTAATGACAATGGAAAAGATTTACGCTCCGTAACTCAAAACTGAAAGAGTTTTATCCACTATACCTTTTATCTAGAAATGGATGTTTAAATATATGCATCTATTTGTTAGCAAAGGCTGTAGGAAAGTATAGTTTGTCTTTATTTAGAAAATATGGATGTTTTGCTCATTAATTTTCCTGTTGGAACAGGGCAGATTGACCCTGAGGTTCTGGTGCGGCCACCCCTCACTGTACTTTGGTTATTGCCTGGCCACCCTTATAAAAAAATTTCTGGCTACGCCTCTGCTTGGCATCTCTTAAAAAGCTCAACATGAGGACCAACATGTGGTAAATAAAACAGCCTTCCGTTTCAGCCTCAGACACACAAAGAGCTCTTTATCTGGACGTTATTACCCAGAGGACATCCAAGCTGGCTGCCCTGGTACCCACAACCCCAATGACATTAAAACAAAGTCTTTAATCTCTTAAAGCAACTGTTGACAGGAAGTTAAACATTAGTATATTATACAATAATAATTTATTGCAGCGCTCACATCTAAAACACATGTTTTATGGGTGCATTTGTTTTCACAAAGCAATATAAGTATAATTGAGGTAGTTCTTAACATCACTAGATAAAGAGGCTTATATTTATCCTGTTAGATCCGCCCAGGGGCGTTGCTAGGCACAAAGCTTTACTGGGGCACTGGCCCCCTACCGCATATGCCCCTCCTGCCATACACAAATACAGACAAGCACACTGCCCCACCCTGATATTTTCCTACCAAAATTACCAGTTGAGATATTAATGAGTGTAAGAGCATATTTGTTTTAACAAACATGAACATTTTCAACATTGCAGCTATAAAAAATAAGACATCACCAACTCTGACAAATAAAACGTTTCCTTATACACATTCTGAAGTAATCATTAATTCCTAGGTTTCCGAGTTTTAGTTCAGGGTAAAGTTTAACTCAACCCGAACTAAGTTTTTCTCTTATTTATTGAGCATTAAAGTGTACCTCCTATTTTTCATTTTTGCAAAGCAGTCAATAACTTGTGACTCAGCTTAGAAAGTTCTTCCTTTTCAACTGATAAAATAGCAAGATGATGGAGCCTGTCTTGTCCCATTGTGCACCTCAGCCAAGTGTGGAGCTTTCTCAACACACTGAATAACCTTTCACAACTCCAGACTGGGATTGTGAGGGAGATCTGGATGACCTGCGTTAGTGTGGGGAATATGATGTTATCAAGCAAGTTGAAAACACACTGCATATCCTTGATGACTAGGCTTTCTTTTTCAACCATAAAAAGCTTTCAAACCATTTTGAATTGAATGAAAGTTTTTTTTACTCCAAATTTGTCCTGGGGATTGTGGGACAACTTTACTTGTCTAGGACCATCATGCTTTCCCTCTAAGTCACTAATGTCCCCTTCTTGTTTGTGGAAGCTGGTTGTTGCTCCCTCATCACCTTCATGGTCCTGTCTCTCCTGTCTCTCACCTGTCTCTTGCCTGTCAGTCTCGCCTCCTCCTCCCTTTCCTACTCCATCACCTTCATTCTCATTCTCTACAGCAAACATTAAAAAACTTAAATTTATAATTATGTAAATATCTATCATATTGCTTATAACGTCCCTAATGTAACTGCTTAGCTTACATCACTAATTCATCGCGGGACCTTACCTCCCTCTCTCTCATCTTGTTTTACTGCTTCCCTGTCTCTGCTTCGTGTGAGGAATTTCCTGATATCCATCTACAAACCAATGCAGTAATTTTCAGTTAGTAGCCTATAAAGCATGTGGTTTCACTGGGAAAATAATAAAAATGTCAGGTAAGAAACGTTACCAGAACAACGTTTCTTACCTGTCAATAAAAAAAAAAAAAATGCGCCGTACAGTGTCCCATCCAACTCAGTTGAGAGCAGCGCGTTAATTTACCTGCAGTTCATGCAGTGACATGCGCTGACGTGGGGGCGCTAATACATCCTCAATTTGGAGTTAACAACACACTTGCTGCGCATTTGAGTAGAAATATACGTCTCCTTCCGTTGGAATTATCTAAATTGATGCATTAAAAAAATGTATCACTGTTGCAAATATTCATGAGATTTATACTGGGGCACAGCACATTTATACTGGGGCACAGCTCATTTATACTGGGGCACGTGCCACAGTAAATGGGGTCTGGCGACGCCGATGGATCCGCCCCCCATTCAAACTGACCCTCCGCCCTGTCATTCAGCACCTGTCACAGGTATAAACACTCATCCTCGAAGCTGTTTCGCTTTTCTCTGACCGTTCAAACACAGAAGCACAATGACGTCTTCATTAAACACAGCGAGCCTCTCTCAGCATCCTGCATCCTGCAGCATTCCGTCACTCCGTGTCCTCTGTGCGCGTCTCTGATCTACAGTCTCTCTGCAAACAGCAGCTCATCGCCATGCGTAAAGTGAAAACATCTTACCTCATCGGCCGCCATCGTCATAAATGTCTGAGTCCGGGAATAATAATCAGGCTTTCATGCAGACCTGCTGTCCGCACAATCTGCTCAGTGCGACACCCCCTCTGTGCAGGAGGACGGCATTACAGCGCGCTGTGCAACCTGCTCCACTGGGCCCAGTTTGCAGGGGCGGCTCCAGAACATTTTTATAGGGGTGGCCTAAAGGGCGTGGGCTTGATTTCAACTTTGGTAGGGACACTATTGGTCTTAGGGTGAATTGGTCTGATGTCATGCTCCTATTTTTTTCACGCTTGACCTGAGCAACAGGGCGCATTTCGTTTAAAGAGAAAACAGCATTTTTTGCTACATTTATACAAAATTTAAAAGCACTACACACACAAGATGCTGTTTATCAATGTTTGAAGCATCAGTGGCTCGGAATATTGTAAAATTGGGGCAACTTAAAGGGAAACAACTTTTTTTTTTTACATTGGCCCCTTGATTTTACGTTATTACACCATGTTCTACTAACCCATATAAGTTCTGTGTCATTTGGAGCTGTTCTAAAGATATTCTGTTAGGTTATATCCAGGTAACGTCTTCCTATGGGCAACGACTTGAAGGCACAAACTTAAATGTTCATAATTTATTCTTTATGGTACACCAGCATTCATAACATGGAGACGAATCACTGTCCCCTTGACATCCACGGTTATATTATTTATATTTATATCTTTTAAAAACAAAGCGGAGCGTGTTCTGACATCATCCGTCATTTTGCAGTCATTTTTTGTCAGTTTTTGGTTAATATACTAACTTTAAAATGTCACAATAGGAATTTCCACATACCAAAACAGTTAAAAAAACAACTTTCCACATGATGGTATCAGTGCTGCCATCTTCTGGTTTAGTGGAGAACAGCTTTTTTGAGAGGTGGTGAAATTACATCCACAATAGGGCAAAAAACAACAACTAGTAGGCGTGGCCACAGTGGGGCCAATTATTGGCCAGGGATGGCATTGGCCCCCCAAGATAGATGTACTATTTGCAAAAAAAATTTGTTTAAATTTTAATATAACAAAAAATACTAGCTTGGGTTTGAATAACTTTTATATTTGTATTTTAACTCTATATAATAACCAGTTAATAATATCAATTTTAACAATGTTTTGCCTAAGTGTGAGCATGGTTGCATGGTTGTCTGCCCTGTTTCTGTTGCCCTGTTATGGAAAAGTAGCCCTATAATAGAAGCAGGTATGGATGCATACATTTAAAGAAAAAAAGCTTTGCTGTGTTGGTTACAATATTTAAAAAGGTAATTCTCTTGGTTTTATATCTAGTAGATGCCACTTATTTGGTTTTGGTTTGTTTTCATTAATATATAATGCAAACAAATTCTGATAAAACATTATAATTCAATAACAATTAGAGGCCATTTGTGCCTGCTGCCATCAACTGCCATCAACACCTCTGTTTATAGATGTTGGAGATTGGCCTGCTTTCCAGTGTAGTCTTGTTTCTCTCACCGTGACTGACTGGATGTGCCCTCTTCATCCTCTGACATGGGAGCTGGCTCAGAGCTCATCTGCCTGGCTGTGTGTTTCCTGGATGGGGCCGCCTTTTACAGTTGCTTTTTGTATATCTGCTTCTGTCTCCTGGAACCCCAGTCGGCCTCAGCAGATGGCCGCTCACACCTAACCTGGTTCTGCTGGAGGTTTCTTCCTGTTCAAAGGGAGTTTTTCCTCTCCACTGTCGCTACAAGCATGCTTAGTGTGAGGGATTACGTTCAAGTTAATGAGTCGATGCAATCAACTGGTTTTCCTTAGATAGAAAACTTTGAATCAATTGGACTGTATGATCTGGTGAACTGTAGAGTGCCTTGAGATGAGAATGTGTTGTGAATTGGTGTTATAGAAATAAACTGAATTGAATTTAAATTTGAGAGATCTGTTGTGATGTGTTGCCTATTCATTTTAAAACATTTATATATGAGTTAATTAAACAAAAGTGTGTTAATATTAATGATTCAATCAAACTGAACTTAACACACCACTTTTTGTTGTATTTTGTTACTACGCACACTCTGAACTTCAGTTTTTTTTCTTTCATACACTGCAAAAAATGTAAATCTAAATAAGTCATTTTTTTTCTTAAAATAAGTGCTTTTTTTTATTAAGTATTTAGGTGAGACACTTAGCCAATGGAACAAGACAATTTACACTTAAAATATGAAAAAACAATGGCATTGTCTTATTTCAAGTGCATAATATCTAGATACCTTATTTTAAGAGTAAAAATACTCATTCCATTGGCAAATCATCTTATTTACCTGCTCAAATTAGGGGGAAATACTCTTAATTTAAGACATTTTTACTACTTTTGAGATATTTTTTGCAGTGTTATTCCCCAGCAGGAGCCCCTGCGCAGCCGTTGGACGGGGGAGTGTCTGCATATTAAATGGCTGGAGGGATTTTGGCGACGCGCCGGAAGCAGCAGGTTGGACAACAGACAGAGGAGAGCGCGGACACTTCATCTCTCACCTGCATCTTTTTTTTTATTATTTGTATTTTACACCAGGGAATAAAAACAACATGGCTCTGAGCCAGGAATCCGTGTTGAGTTTTCTGCTAGAGCGCGGAGGCAAAGTGAGAAACTCGGAGCTTGTGAACCATTTCAGGAGCCTCATTAACAGGGGCGACCCCGCGGAAAAGCAGCACAACAGAGAGCTATTCAAGAAGCTGGTGAACAGCGTCGCTGTGGTCAGACAGATCGACGAGGTGAAGTTCGTGGTGGTGAGAAAGAGGTACCAGGACTTTGTGAAGGAGGAGAGCTGCATCCAGCAGAGCTTCTGCGCTCCAAACCCCAGTGATAATAGGAACTACAGAGAGGGGGGTTTGCAGGGAAGCAGGCCGTTATCCACCGCGGATTCAACCATGGTTAAAGTCCTGAATATCTCCGGGGATCAGCGGAGCAGAGCACGTAAATCTGGAGCTGTGTTCGCTGTCATAGCGGTCAGATCCCCGGGGAGAGACTCTGCAGCAGGAGCAGAGGATGGATCACCTTCCCAGGTGGATCAGCATGGAAACCCAAACAAACCAGTCATCAGAGTTTCCTCCCTCCCGCTTCTTTCTTTCTACTCATCTCAGCAGAGGAGTTCAATAAAAGAGCCCCAGTGCTGGAAATCCAGACAGACAGAGGCCAATCAGGGCTCTCCCCTAGTGGGGCCCCTAAACAAGAACCCCAATGAGGCCAAGTTCAATGAGTCTGTGCCGTTGGAGCCAATGGTTCATGAATGGATTGTGAAGTGTGCTGCTGGGCTGTGGGGACAAATATACGGCTTACTTCTGCAGGACACACGCTTAGCACAGAGGAAGGACTTCATGTCAGGTTTCACTGCCCTGCACTGGGCTGCAAAGGACGGCAGCTGTGACATGATTCACAAACTCATGGATGTTTCCAGCAAAAGAGGCACGTATGTGAATGTCAACAGCAAGTCACATGGAGGGTACACACCTTTGCATATTGCAGCCATGCACGGGCACGGCCAGGTCGTGGTTGCTCTTGTGCAGCGTTATGGAGCCAATGTGAATGAAAGAGACAACGACGGCAAGAAGGCGCTTCACTACCTGGGGAAGGGTGCATCAGCTGAGGTCAGGGGCCTGCTGGGTGGAGGGCAGCAGGGCGGAGAGAAGACGGAGGAGGAGGAGTACAAGGAGCATGGAAGGGGCTTCAACACCATCAGCAAACTGTTCCATCCTCACTTAGGAAAGAAACATAAGACATGTAGGTTTGTTAACGAATGCTGAGAGAGATGATCTGCTCTTGAAGATGAACTCACCCTAATTTGTCAAGCGATCTGCTCCTGTAGTCCTCCTGCAGCAAGATGGACGGACATGGCCCTGAGCGGCTTCTAAGAGGCAGTTCACAGCAAAAAACTTGTAAAAGAGAAACGCTGCATTGATCTGATATCTGGAGAAAACTGTCTTACTGCAGGCATATCTCTAGTAAATCAAAAAATAACTCTAAACCTTAAAAATATGTTGAGCAAATGGTAGTTTTGAAACTGTAACCTTTTAAACTTTTGGTATAACTTTCTACTGAAATCCAGCCTACTGTAGTTTTTATATAAATGAAACCTGAACTACAAATGTCACATAATATTCTCATTATCAGTTCGTATGAAATCGTACGAAAAGTTATGCACAGTATTTCGTACGTTTTGGACGTTTTTCCTCGAAAAAACAGATCAGTGCGCATGCGCAGGCAGACAGACGAAAAAAGCAGATCCGCGGACGGACGTAAAACTGGGAAAAACAGTGCAATAATTACTTCTTCATGTCTTTAACTACGTTTCTTGCTGTTTTGTATCTTAGGGTTAGGGTTCAGGTCAGGGTTAGTTGTATGTTAAATTCTATGTTATTGAATGGTGCGTAAGATGCGCATGCGCAAGGATATCTTGTCTCGAGGCAAGACGTACAAATACGACGAAAAAAACGTCAACAACGTACGAAATTACGGTGCATAACTTTTCATACGATTTCATACAAACTCATGATGAGAATACACTGAATGTCAGCTGTGTTATACAGCTTTGTACAGTGTATCACTGGTGTAGTAAGTAGTAATGTAATTTATATGTATTAGTATTAGCAGTTAACCACTGATTCCAACTAAATACTAATTTTATTTAATACTCAGCACGGATCAGCTCTAATCATAGCTTTTTTTACCTTCATAATGACATTTCATGCCTTTTGGTTTTATAAAATCTTTTGTTAATGTTTTCTGTTTACTGGCCATAAAAAACAGCAGAGTGACGAAGTATGGATTTTCACGTCCGGGTTTTTGAACATATGTTTTCAGGTTAAGAATAAAACTGTTTTTGTGTTAATCACATCACAACAACAAGACGAATGGAGCTAGTAAGTGGACTTAGTAAGTAAAGGTTATGGCAGGCAACTTTTACCCTGTTTCTATTTAGAGGTATGGGGGCACACATTTACAAATGATGCAACAATAATGCCCCCATATGGAGGGAAGGTTTTCTTGTGTGTTGGAGCCAAAGTTTGACTCAGAAGATCAATTCCTGATGGTTGGTTCTGAGGAAATGTTTGTTCTGTAGATTGATCCAATATGACTTTATTTCTCAATAGAAATTATTTTTTTGTCTTTCAATAAACACATAAGATTATCTGTTTCTTTATACATTTGAACATTGATAAATGTGCATTTTATCATTTTGTTATTTTTTATCATAAACTTTGTGTAAATGCAAATGTGTGTAGGGTTTCTTGACATTTCCTAGTTAAAAGTGTTTGATAATTGAATAAACGTGACTGGTTCTGTTCTCCTTACTCCTTACTACCAGACCAGATATGTGTAATGCAGTGATTTTCCCCTTCTCTTAACAGTGTGATTACGTGTGTTGTTTTGTCCACAGGAAAAAGAAAATAAATTTTTATCGTTTGCTTACCCGGAAAATCATTCCCTGATGACATGAAAAGAGACACGGATAATGTCGTCACAATCAAAGCAGCAGCAGAACAATGCCTTCTTTGTAGTTTGCAGGAAACAAAGCAGTTTTTTTCTGGAATGACAAACAATGTCTGCTCTCAAAAAATGTTCACTATATTAGACTGAATTAAGTAATTACTTTAAAAAATCTTTTGTGGAGACTGTTACACAACGGTACCATTAGAAAAGACAATCATTAAATTAGTTACTAAAGAGAAACCATCTTTAAGCCAAGATTAAAACCCCAAATACTTTGACATGTTTGTAAAACAGGGGATTTTGTCTGTGGAGGTAGTTATAACTTAATTCATTATGGGGGGTTTAAGGCACAAAAAAAAAAAAAGGTGTACTGACTATCGACCACTTTTTAATAGTTTCTGGTGCGGGGAATCTTGGTATTAATATGCTTACAAGTTAACGCCCAGACTGGGAGATAAGTTATGGGCGTTCCCATTTATTGAAGTCAGTTTGTAAATGAACCAACAATCCGAATGTACAGCAAGTAAGATGGACGGGTGATTAAGTAGAGTGTGGATATGACAGAACTTAACTATAGGACCCAGACTATTGTGTGCCAAAGAAAAAGGTAAAAACCGTATGACCTCCCGTCACCCAAACCCTTTCTGCCCTCTCACCTTATAGCTTTCCCCTCAACACCGCCACCAGTGCTAGAGCAGAATAGGGTAGTGTCTTAATCTGAACAAAACACCACCCCCCAAAATCAAATTAACCGAAACAAACCATACCTAAACACCAACGACTAAATGGCTCCTACAACAAGATTTAAAAAGTTATGAGAGTCATATATATATGTACAGATAGATAGATAGATAGATAGATAGATAGATAGATAGATAGATAGATAGATAGATAGATAGATAGATAGATAGATAGATAGATAGATAGATAGATAGATAGATAGATAGATAGATAGATAGATAGATACACTATATTGCCAAAAGTATTTGCTCACCTGCCTTGACTCACATATGAGCTTAAGTGACATCCCGTTCCTAATCCATAGGGTTCAATATGACGTCGGTCCACCCTTTGCAGCTAGAACAGCTTCAACTCTTCTGGGAAGGCTGTCCACAAGGTTTAGGAGTGTGTTTATGGGAATTTTTGACCATTCTTCCAGAAGCGCATTTGTGAGGTCGCACACTGATGTTGGACGAGAAGGCCTGGCTCTCAGTCTCCGCTCTAATTCATCCCAAAGGTGTTCTATCGGGTTGAGGTCAGGACTCTGTGCAGGCCAGTCAAGTTCATCCACACCAGACTCTGTCATCCATGTCTTTATGGACCTTGCTTTGTGCACTGGTGCACAGTCATGTTGGAAGAGGAAGGGGCCAGCTCCAAACTGTTCCCACAAAGTTGGGAGCATGGAATTGTCCAAAATGTCTTGGTATGCTGAAGCATTCAGAGTTCCTTTCACTGGAACTAAGGGGCCAAGCCCAGCTCCTGAAAAACAACCTCACACCATAATCCCCCCTCCACCAAACTTTACACTTGGCACAATGCAGTCAGACAAGTACCGTTCTCCTGGCAACCGCCAAACCCAGACCCGTCCATCAGATTGCCAGATGGAGAAGCGCGATTCGTCACTCCAGAGAACGCGTCTCCACTGCTCTAGAGTCCAGTGGCGGCGTGCTTTACACCACCGCATCCGACGCTTTGCATTGCACTTGGTGATGTATGGCTTGGATGCAGCTGCTCGACCATGGAAACCCATTCCATGAAGCTCTCTGCGCACTGTTCTTGAGCTAATCTGAAGGCCACATGAAGTTTGGAGGTCTGTAGTGATTGACTCTGCAGAAAGTTGGCGACCTCTTCGCACTATGCGCGTCAGCATCCGCTGACCCCGCTCCGTCAGTTTACGTGGCCTACCTCTTCGTGGCTGAGTTGCTGTCGTTCCCAAACACTTCCATTTTCTTATAATACAGCTGACAGTTGACTGTGGAATATTTAGGAGCGAGGAAATTTCACGACTGGATTTGTTGCACAGGTGGCATCCTATCACAGTTCCACGCTGGAATTCACTGAGCTCCTGAGAGCGACCCATTCTTTCACAAATGTTTGTAAAAACAGTCTGCATGCCTAGGTGCTTGAATTTATACACCTGTGGCCATGGAAGTGATTGGAACACCTGATTCCAATAATTTGGATGGGTGAGCAAATACTTTTGGCAATATAGTGTAGATAGATAGATAGATAGATAGATAGATAGATAGATAGATAGATAGATAGATAGATAGATAGATAGATAGATAGATAGATAGATAGATAGATAGATAGATAGATAGATAGATAGATAGATAGATAGATAGATAGATAGATAGATAGATAGATAGATAGATAGATAGATAGATAGATAGATAGATAGATAGATAGATAGATAGATAGATAGATAGATAGATAGATAGATAGATAGATAGATAGTGGTTTCAAAATACAGATTTGTTACTGAAGTAGAAGTATAGATATTGCAGTTTAAAAACACTCTGGTGAAAGTTGAAGGATCAACTTGACCTCTTTACTCAATTAAAATTGAAAAAGTATGTGCCCAAAAAACTACTTAAAGTATAAAAGTATGAAGTAACCTTTATAAAAAAAAAAAACATCCAGATGCCACTATATGAATTGAAATCTCAATTTTTCGACTATTTCGAAAAATTCTTGGAGATAGGGCCATGGATGAGGGAGGTCTTGTTGGTCTCCATCTCCATCTCCTGATACGCTCTCGCCTGTATCCGACCTTTCAGACATTTCCACATCTTTTTCTGAATCTGACATTGTAGCATGGCATAGACAATTCACATTTACAGTTTGAAGAACACCTGCTTGCTTCTGATGATTTCCTTTAGCTAACCAATGAGCGTTTGCATTATATGACTCATCCAATTCCACTAGTTTTCACTAGATGCGGATGGCCACAATGATCTGCATTGGATGGCGCACATGACGTGAAATAAATATAAACAATAAACTGAAGCCAAGAGTAACAAGTGACGTTTGTTTTAAAAATTTAAAGAATAGAAAGTACAGATACTTTTGATAAAATTTCCATCCATTATATTACATGCTTGTCCTAATTGGGGTCGCGAGGGGTGCTGGTGCCTATCTCCAGCAGTCAATAGGCAAGAGGCGGGGTACATCCTGGACAGGTCTTGATAAAATTGAATGAGTAGAAATCAGAAGTAGGATGAAAAATAAGTAATGGAGTAAAGTATAGATACCTAAAAAGTGTCCTCAAGTACAGTAATGAAGTATCTGTACTTTGTTACTTGACACCTCTGCAGAAGACCCAACTGTTTACTGTGCACCAAAATATCAGCCTTAAACTGTTTGTTTGTTTGTTTAGGCTGTTAAAAATCTAAGCAAGTGTGTATCCTTGACACCTCTGCAACCTAAACAAAAAGCAGTGTTTAATGTTGGAGATCCACTGCACAAAAATCTAGGTTTCCAGATACCTTGACAAAAGGTGAAACTTTACTATTTTTCTCCTGTATCAAATAAGCCTCCGTCTTGATGAGATCCCAAATTTATTATATATGTTGTAGTGGCGTCACTGGAGACAGCACAGCTGCAGATTCCCCACTTTCTCCAACATAAGGAATGCTTCAGCATTAAAAAAGCTCCAGCTGACAAAACTGAAACACTGACCAGACACATTCTGCTGTTAGGTGACCTCAGTTCAGAGGCAACACCTCATATATCACAGTTTATCTTAAATGAAGATGTGATGAAAGACAATGTATGGATTATCAGGCCACCAAAGGTTAGAAATTGATAAGATTTTGTTTGTTATTTAAACAGTGACGAACCCTTAAATCAACTCAGGTAATAAAATTACCCACTCTTGTTTTATCTACACTGAAAGCCTTGAAAATCCAAAACCAAGGTTTAAGAGGAGGTAGTTCACAATGGGTTGAAGTAATTTAGTTCGTAAAATACTCCCGGTATGCACAGACATTTGAAGGGCAGAAAGAACATGGCGCATATAGTGAGTCCTAGGACACTTTGACATGCATTTTGGCCCCTAAGAGGACACTTTAGCACAGCTTTGGCTCCCGAAAGGGCACTTTAGCATGCGTTTTGGCTCCCCCCCCCTGCATGTCACTGCTCCTACATCAAGCATAACAAATTCAGAAAATAAATACCTATACCTGGAGATTTTAATTTACGGGTATTTGTTTTGTGAGAAAACTGTTTAAATATTGACTTCTTTTTTTTTTTTTCTGTAAATGATAAACCAAAAAAAATTCAGTGTCTTGCATGGAATTCAAACCCTTTAAACTTCTCCACTGAGATTGTCTTTATATGGGATCAACACAAGTAGTGTAAAGCGAGAGGAAAATTAAGTGTGTTTTTTTAATCTAACTTAAGATAAAAATGTGTATCTCTGCCACATTTAAAAAACAGCCCTGCCTACCATCTTTAATGTAGCTTTCTCCCATATTTTGCATGGTATTGGTAGCATCATGCATCATTTATGTTAGTTTAAATGAAGTGGTGATTGTTTGTCAAGCCAAACATACAAAAAAGGTTCCAGCACTGGGGGGAAGTTTCTGTACGCAGCCAAAAGAAGGTTCAAGTTCCACACTTGATGATCTAGATTTTCTGGATGGTTTTATTTTCCTACTTCAGCCACAGTTACAGAGTTCTTTGTTCATTCTGCTACTTCTCTTGCTCTGGTAAAAACCATAGGCCTCAAACCCAAAATGCCTGCTGGTCCTTTCCCAGGCCCCTACACTTATAGAAAGTGCACTGATCCACATTACTTCCTGTCTTAAATCAGAACAAAATGAATAAATAAATAAAAATCAGAATCAACAAATATTAATCTGCAAATAAAATCTGTAAATAATACTAAAAACATAAATTTAAGAATATATTAACACAATTCAAATGGATAAAGAAATAAAGAATAAATAGCTCCAACATTAGACTTAGGCAACTTTTATTGTCATTTTGTATACAGAGTGCATACAAAACAAAGTTTCGTATTGTGCAGCTCTCATGACATTTCCATTTCCTAAAGTGCAGCTGTGATCAAATGCAAACAGTGTGGGAGAAGAAAAAACATGGTGCAAAAAATGCATTGAATAAATCTGGTGCATTTATGCAGTGTTTTGGGTTGGATGTTTTCAGTTTGATGCAGAGTCTTTGACATGATTTAGAGTTCTTTCAACATTCAGCTGTCTGATGAGCTGGGGAAGAAGCTGTGTCGGAATCTGCTGGACCTGCATTGAATGCTGGGAAGCCTCTTCCCAGAGGGCAGAAGGGAGAACAGTCCATGGTGGGGGTGTGAGGGGTCATTGATGATGTTACGTGCTCGGGATACGCAGCGCTGGGATGTAATGTCTTTAATGGAGGGCAGAGGAGCCCCGATGATCCTCTCTGCTGTTCTCACTACTTATTCCACCTTCTTCCAGTCTGTGGAGCTACAGCCTCCACACCACACGGTTAGACCGCTGGTCAAAATGATCTGAGGTTGTCTGTGATGTGCACGCCCCAGGAATTTGGTGTTACTGACCACCTCTATTTTTACTACATACCAGATGTGATTCCAAATATAATCAACTAAAACACAAAGAAACCATCTTTGATAGAAGTTCAGATTATTAAGATACTTAAATTGTACTTTAATATAGTAACATAAATAAACTAAACTGCGTATGTCTGGTTATTTACTGATTGAAATATGGTATCAAATTATTATTTATCTGTCCATTCAAGTGGATGTCAAGAATAAAAGCCTGCATTATTCTTTAAATTCAATAACCATAATCTTTCATTGTTTTGTGCAATAGTGGCATATTTTTGTAATAGTTCTGGTTATAATACTTGGATTACCAGGGAATACTGCGAGGAGGTTTCTGTAGGATCCATTTAAAGAGCAGATAAGATCATGGACAAGACAGCGTTTACGTTTTTTACAAATTAAAATAAATGAGATAAGGGAATGGTAAACTATGCTCCGACTCAACTGTTGTCAATATATATACCATCTGTATTAGTGTTTTATTTTTTCTGTCATTACCTATTTTTAAAGTTTAAATAATGGGTATAAAAAAGGAGCATTATGGGCACCTCTACAATTGTATATAATTTCTAAATCAACATGGCACTAAAGTTAAAGTAAACTATATCATGCTTCATCAATTTACATAATTTTTCTGCAAATATTTTTTTTTCTTGAACCTATATTTTATTGAAGTAAAAATGGGGAAGTTGTTTGAAAAAGAAAATAAAGGTGTTTCTTTAATTTTGACCAAAATACATTCATTATTAAAATATAAAAGTTATATTCATTGAACAAGTAAAGGTTTTAGCACTCTGGGTGGATTTTATTTTGCAGGAGTTGTTGGCGCTCAAGTTCAAAATAGATTCTCTGTATCAGTGGTGTTTCTAACCTCTGTTTAAAAACAGAAGTAATAAACACAGTTTTTTGTAAAAACCAAAGATGGTTACAGAGGACACCAAGGGGATGGGTTAAATGCAGAGAACGAATTTCCCCATTGTTGGACAATAAAGGGATTAATATATTACATAATTAGTTGTTTTTTTTTTCCATTTTCTTTTCAAGTATCTCTGTAACTATAATCAGAAAGTAAATCGTTGGTGGCAGCTAAAGATTAGGGTGATGGTAAGGGATATCCCAATCCTTGATGAGATCATTTTTTAAAGTAAAATCCTATTAGAGGAGATATGATAAAGGTTTAATGACAGATTCTCTCTTTTAGAGTTTAAAAAAACTGTAGACTGGTGAGTTCTAAATATTGAAAAAAAAGGATGTGCTCATTGTCTGAGCAATTGACTTAGAGATGATGATGTTTTATTTGTGTGATCTATAACTCTATAAAACATGTTGTGTCCAGATTGAATCTGCGTTTTTTCTCTCTGGTAAGTTCTTGTGCATGGATCTTTTGGCATGAGAATGTTTAAATAAAATCTTCCTCGGTCAAGAAGATGTCATGCAAGGCTGTGTGAATCCAGTACATTTTATGCACAAAATATTCTCCTCTCATCATTAAGAACATAAAAAAATGTTTTTATTTATTTGTCTGAAGGCAGATATTTACGGAAGAGGATTAGGGCCACTGGGGAAAAAAAAAAGTTAACATATTTTTACATTTTATTTCAGTTTTAATATGGGGGAAAAAGTCAGAATTCTGACTTTTTTTTTTTTCAGAATTCTGACTTTGATATCAGAATTCTGACTTTAATCTCATAATTCTGACTTTTTTTCTCAAAATTCCGACTTTGATCTCAGAATTCTGACTTTAATCTCATAATTCTGAATTTTCCCATATTAAACTGAAATAAAATTTAAAAATCAGTTAACTTTTTTATTTATTTTTTTTCAGTGGCCCTAATCCTCTTCTCTTCCGTAGATATGGGAAAGAAAGAATATTTTTTAAATCTGTGCCTTTCAAAATAAAAGACAAAACGCACTTGACTTCTGAGTTGTTTTCTGAGGCAATTTAAAATATTAATTTTCTCAAACTTATCTTTCTGAAAGTTCCTTTTAACGCCAATTCAAGTGCAGATAAAACATATGTATCTGTATTTTTCATATTAATGTCGGCGCGCTTCTTCAAAAAGGGAAAAGCTTGTGGCTGATTGAGCCAGGTGATGATTGGGAACACCTGCGCGCGCGCTGATCTGCGGCGACACTTGCGTGTTTCCGTTTTCCACGGGCTCTCTCCCCGCAGAGAGTCTCTCTTGCTTTTCTCAGACCGTCTTTCTTGTTTATGATGGGAAAACAAACGCTGATGCCAGCTGCTGTTGGTTGTTTCAGTACCGTTTTGCTCCTGCAGCTGGTTTCCTGCAGCCTCCCACTGCTCGGACCCTCCGATGCGCTCTACGACCTGAGCGCTTTGACCTACCCTTACAGCAGCATCCTTTCCCCGCTGCTCAAAGCTCTGTCTGAGCACGGAGGGTCCAGGTTGAGCTCAGGCCAGAGGAAAAAGGCCAAACCCGAGCAGAGGTACGTGAAATATCTGACGGAAGTTTACAAGAAGTCCACAAGGATGCAGAGGAGCGTCGATGGAGGAAATGTCTACAACACCATCAGGCTGATCAAACCCCAAGATGAATGTCATGCAAAAAGCAACAAAGGTGAGCAGCTTATATAATGTGATTGGACCTTATATTTGTATTATTATAGCAATGTTTTAGGACTATAAAACTCACAGATAATGGCTCAATTTCCTTAAAGTATATCTGGGGTTCTTAAACTTTTTATAACTCATATAATCCGACTAGATGGCAAGTTTTCCAATTTTCATTATACTGAAATGCATTTTAAAACGTTATTGCAACTAAACTTTGACATCTCCTGCAGGGGCGTAGCCAGAAATTTTTATAAGGGTGGCCAGGCAATAACCAATGTACACTACGGGGTGGCCGAAAGCAGATGGGCACCAAAACCTCATGGTAAATCTACACTGTTAAAACAGGAAAATTAATGAGCAAAACATCAATATTTTCTAAATAAAGACAAACTATATTTTCCCACAGACTTTGCTAACAAATAGATGAATATATTCAAACCTTTGTGCTTTCTAGATAAAAGGTTTAGTGGATAAAATACTTTCAGGTTTGAGTTCTGGGCAAACATCTTTTCCATTGTCATTACTTACCTACTTTTCTCAGTAATCATTATGCATAAAATTGATATTTACAAGTACTAATATCTACATAAATTGATTATTTAATAAGTTTTTATTAAAAAAGATATTTATCTATGATTTCACTGAAGACTCCTAGATGACTTTTCTCTTTACCCCATAAAACACAAAATCTAATTCTGCTTGAATTCTGTATTTATTATCTCTAATGTTAGTATAATAATGAGCATAATCAACCCCAGTGTTTTTGTTGAGTAATTGTTAATATATTGAAGATTAAAATGCCACCGGTTAAGTTGCCACCATCTGTATTGGAGGGAAATAAATGGTAGTGGTGGCCACAGGGGTGGCCAATGATTGGCTAAGGGTGGCCATGGCCACCCCTGGCCCCCCATCTAGCTCCACCCCTGATCTTCTGTTTATTATATGCTATGAACAAAGTAGGGCTGAAGGATTTTGCCAAAAATCAAAATTGCATTTTTTTTAAACCAATATGTGACTGCGATTTTCATTTACACTTAGCTTGAAAGCTTACTTGAAATTGAGTCCATTGTACAGAAATTAAATGGAACTTTGGCAAGAGAAGGCTACCTTCTGTGTGACACTTTAAGTGCATTACAACCACTAAAGAGATGGAGAGAGAAATAGTTTTTCTGTTTTCTTAATGGGACAGTGTTTAACAATTACTTCTCCTTTAAAGAAAAAAATCAAGTGTTTCTATGACAAATGCATATTCTACAAAAGTCTATAAACATCAAAATTAAAAGCATTATCATAGACTTAGTAGTTTATAAATGCATGGGGTGGGTCGGCCCAATGGTAGGCACCATGTTGAGTCGCCATTTTTTAATCACAGTAGCTGAAAGACAACAAACTTGTCAGCCTTGCAGGTTTTGCCCGATCCAGAAACGCTTAGTCAGTGGTGGAGTTTAAAACAATGGAAAAACTGTAGATCGTTGTACTTCCACCTTCTGTTGCAGTGAAAACTACTGAGAAGCAAGAACAACAAACTAATACAAAGAAGTAATACCTGGGAGAAAACATCTGCACAGCTAACTGGTTTATCTTCTACTGGATGAGCTCAGTTGCAGTATCAGCTGCTGGAGTTTTTTTTTACTGTTTTCAGAGAGATTTTCATTGCATTTCATAATTTATTTTAGCTGATATGACAAGGGGTAATTAAACCGACTCTGTCGTCCTAGTGGAGGTGGCTAGGTTGTTTGTGATCCTACCCTGGATGAGCTACAAAGCAGCTGTTATTAGCTGCTGTTTTTATTTATAGAAGTCATACCAGCTAGTGAGTAGGCTTCTTTCAGCTTTGTTTTCAGATAAATATTTCCATAAATAGGGGGTTACTCCAGTAGCTGGAAGTTGGCTGCCATTCGGATGGCGTTTGACTAGGAAGGGCCCGTTTGAATGGCTGCTACTGTATAGACACATTTGTTTGTCAATTTAGAATCCCTATCAGAAACCTGGTAGTTTGTGGTTTTGATATCAAGGTATAGAGAGGTTAAACCTCTCTATACTGATTAACACTTTACCATGAATAAAAAAATTGATGAAACTAGCTTAGATCAGTACCTGGATCTTATCTTCTTTTTCAGAAAGTTTTACGCAGGATTTGTTCTACAGCCTTGATCAAGTAAGAAGAAATGAGCAGCTCCTGAAGTCATCCCTGCTGTACAGTTTCAACCTCAACGGCCCGTCAGCTGTTAGCCCGGAGTGTCAGTGTCACCTGAGCATAAAAGAGCATGAGCGGTCCAATGAGTGCCAGCTGTGTGCCGGGGTCTGTCGTACGTTGAACTTCACAGCCAGCACAAGCAGCAGGCGGCGCAGAAACTGGGTGGAAGTGGACATTACCCAGTTTCTCCAACCAATGCAGAAGAGAAATGTCCACCTTCTTGTTAACATCTCGTGCCCTGAGAAGCAAAAGACTGAGAGCGATGGTTCCAAAGGTCCTTTCGGGTTCATCATGAGGTCTCCACCTCTTATTCTGTATCTCAACGACACAAGCAAAGTGGCAAACCAGAGGTCGGCGACGAGTTCCAGTGAAGATCTATGGCCGCACTCTGCAACAAACACGTTTCAGAAGCACGTTCTGAAATCTGCACGAAGGCACGGACACAAGAGATGGAGGAGGGAATCTTCAATTAGCAAGCGTGGAGACAAAAGCGTGGATATACAGCTGCCAGAGCTGAAATCCAGCTCTGAATTCCCCACCACGGACTGTGCCTTGTACGACTTCAGGGTGCGGTTCAGCCAGCTCAAGCTGGATCACTGGATTGTTTTTCCACCGAAGTACAACCCCAGGTACTGCAGGGGGATCTGCCCAAGAACGATGGGCTTCATCTACGGGTCCCCCGTCCACACCATGGTGCAAAACATCATCTATGAGAAGCTGGACTCATCTGTGCCCAGACCATCCTGTGTTCCCTCTCACTACAGCCCCCTCAGCGTCATGATCTTTGAGGAGGACGGCTCCTACGCCTACAAGGAGTTTAAGGACATGGTTGCAACCAGGTGTACATGTCGCTGATCAGTTATGGCAAAGGCTAGGTCTTCTGGACCATCTCCATTTATTAGCAACTCTGACCACACTAAATTCATAGACCTGTTAAAAAAAAATGTAGCAATAAAAAAATAAAAAGTTCACGAGCAACTGTGTTTACTTAACCGAGAAGTATTTTATCATGTGAAAGGGGATTGTGGCTTTTTTTTCTTTTTGTTTAGAAAGAGGGTAAAAATTTTTCCTATTCAGCTTACTGTTAATATAGTTGACTTGATGCACTACAAAAAGTATGATTGCTTTTTAGTTTGACTTTTGCTCATTTGTGTGTGTTGTCTGTCTTTATTTAATTTAACACAAATTTCTTTTTTTTTTTCTTTTTTTATAGCCCTCATCTCCAAAAGAAAATGGAAAACGCACTTCTAAACTCTTATCAAACCTTTTACATAAACTTTTATTCCCGGGGATTAATGCAAGTCTTTACCTTTATAATCTACAGAATGAACGTTGTCAGTGTTTCGGTGTATATTTATGGTCAAAGTGCCTGTTTAATCTGACTATATGCTTGTATTTATACCGGTTGAATGTGATTAAATGCATATCATAGCTATTTATGCAAACTGGATGAATTGATTGCTCTGTTTACGAACCTACAAAATGAAATAAATGTGTGGCCGACTCTGAAAAGTGGGGAAAAAATTAAATGGAAAATATGCAAAGATACGTTTCTGAGTCTTTTAATCAAATACTTTGAGATCTATTTAATCCAGTGGGAATAGAGACATAAATGATTAAAAATTACTCTGTTGACAGGACATGGGATTCTTTGTTTTTGGTCTAATATGAGCGACATCTGCATAATTATTTACTACTTTTTTTAAATGGATGAACTACTGAAATTATTTTCAGATTGCACACAAATAGAATAATTCCACAGGGGGGGAAAGAAATAACTTTAGGGTTAGGATTAGGATTAACTTGGCGATAGCAAACTACTGAGCCTACTGTTGGGTACGAGGCACAATCTGAAGCCATTCTATGGGACTAATGACCACTAAGACATTGAGATAACATACAACAAAGTGGCTGCAAACAGCCTCTTAGTATTTACTGTGTAATGTAAGATGGAATCAAAATGAAGAGCAAGCCCATGAGATGATGCACAGGTCCCACCTGTTTGCACAACATGTTCATACTTCATCTTCAGCTGCTGCCAGTTTTTTTCACCTAAATTGAATACATTGATCTACTATTCAAGCAATAAACCAGTTTTCCCTGTAATGTTGTGGTTAGAATAAACTATGGTAGGTGTTTAGTTTGAGTATATATTTGTGTACATATAAAATTTTTCCATGATAAAATTAACATCTCAAAATGACATTGTTTATATCTCTAATAAACATTCTGGGTGTCATAAAATGAATTTCAGCTCAGTCAAGCTGAGAATGTCAAAATAGCCACTTATAATGTGTAAACATTTCTATGTATATATAATTAAATACATAAAATTTTGTGTATTTAATATGTGAAATTCAGTTTCTACTGCAAAAATGTAATTTAGAAAATCTTTTGATACAGCTTGAACTAGTAATTAGATTTATTTTTTTTTTTACCAGGAACAATCCTGTTTTCAGTGATCTACAAATGGAAAAACAGAGGAGAGTGCTTTTAAAAAAAACATAAAAACAGCCTGCCTTACAGGACTACATATAAACTTTCACATGAACTCAAGCAGCAATCTTCCCCAACACCATCTACCGCTCCTTTGCAGCTGTGTAGTGTTGTTTCGTATTTTTAAACACATTCTCCATTTTAATTCTGCTTTAAAATCTAGTTCAATGGGTGTGAAATAGTCACTGCTTGTTGTCATGGTGACTCGTCAAATCGGGGCTCCACTGAAAATGGCTTTTCATACATGTTAAAACTCAGAGTGGACTAAACTAACTCACAGCAGCCTTTCTTAAATTGAAAACGTTGTTTCCAACATCAGGCCAGATGAATTCAGAATTAAAGAATCGAGTCTGACTTTGATAAACCTTTAAAAAGATCAAAGTTACAAATCCTGTCTCCCAGGACCTGATGGACACCACTGTTTGCAACATGTCAATATTTCTCTGTGCTGTTTTTGTGTAGTTTGTTTTCATTCTTGTAAATAGTTTGTTTTTATACATAGGTTTGCATGTTTATTCTATACCAACCTACTCTGTTCTACATTTCCTTTAATTTAAGTATGCAAATTTCTTTTTTATACCAGTACAGTGTTCTTTATGTAGTAAAGTTTCCCTACACTTTTTGTTTTCTAACTTTTTTTTTTTGTCTTTTGCCTTCTTTACACAAATCTCTCCATTGCATGACAATAAGAATATTTCCACTCTATTCTTTTAAGTACTATCACTGTAAGGTAAGACTTTTCAATTACTTGTCCATTATCGACTGCCTGAGCTAAAGAATAATTATGGTAACACATTTATGACAGAGATCAGTGTAAATTGAGTCAACAAAGTAAATATAACTAGTTTTCTAATGCAACGGCAAATGTGCCGTTTCAATAATGCCACACTCCAAATATTTAAAACTAATAGAAATGCATGGTTGAAATGCTTTACCCTTACAAAAAAGTTGAAATGCAGATAGCCTTTTTCCACCCAGCACACTTTTGTAAAGTCTCTAATAAAATTTGAGCCATAAAAGATCAAGCTTTATCTTGCAATGTAACCTCCAGTCCACTTGGTGGCGCTGCTGTACCAAGTGTTCAAACACACAAGAGGGAAGGACAACTAACCGGAAAAGTCTTAGGAAATCACATCTGAGAAAAGGCCGGACGGTGAGTCTCAATGTCATCGTTTTAAATGCGCATTTTCCTTTGTTTTTTTCCTTATATATATTTCAAGCATCAAAACTTTCTGTTGATAAGATACATTTTCTTATCACATCACATAGAGGATTCTTCCGGGAGGGGGTTTAAACGGTTTTAAAGATATTTGTGCTTTAGCCGTTCGAGCTAACTTTCATTGCTAACATTTAGCTTGGTTGCTTTGGTTTTTAATATTCGCCTTTACACTTTATAACAGGCAACCACAGCGCAAGTACTAGCATTTGTTACATTAAAATGTCGTTTTTGTGAAAATATTCAGTTAGGCAGAGGTGTCTTTAACGTTAAGTCTAAAACAAAAACCTAAGAGCCCAAATACAAGTTATTAAATCAAGTTTAATACTCTCGATCTATATATAAATTGCATACTTTTTATATTTAAATTATTTTCCCTGAAACTATTGGCAGATTGTAGCTTTGTTTTATGGCTTCCTTGTTTTAACACTTAAACTGATTTAATAAGATTTTACATTGTTTTATCTTGTGTAATGGTTTCACTTTAAACGGGAAAGCAACAATTACTAATTCTAAAATACATTTAAAGGTTTATATGGTTTATTACATTAATTGAAATTTTCACTTTAGAAGTTACATTATTAAAGTGCTTTTTGGCAGAATTGTATTCTTTTTTATTTTTTTACTCTTTACAGTGATCGTAAAATGTGATACTGGCTGGTTAATTAATCAGTCATGCAATCGGCCTGTGGCTTAACAACTTGGTGCTGGCACGAGAACTAGTTTTGAAACAGTTGTCAGATTGGTATCGATTAAAAATAAGTCCTAATCAAAGCTTTTGTTATAAAAAAAAATCCAACCACGTATATAATAATCCCTGAATGAAAATTAGATTTTATCCCCCCTTGATTAAATCAAACTTTATTTATATAGTACTTTAAAAACACTAACTGGACCAAGTTGCTGTGAAAAAGCAGAAATGACAAACACTATTAAATGCACCAAGATTAATGAAAGAATATAAAATAAAAATCTGGAAAATTTAATTTATAAAGCATAAAATCAACCGACTCCAATATCTTTTTGAGTATTAAACGCCGGAGCGAAAAGATTAGACTTCAAAATTGTTTTAAAAATGGTCAGATAGGAAGCCTGCCTGATGTACAGATATACAGTGGCAAATCATTCCAGAGTTTGGGACCGGCTACAGAGAAGGCCCAAATACATTTTAATGTACTTGAAACATTTTTTTCCCTCTTAGTTTTTTTTTTATAACTATTGTGAAGGTTTGGCCTTTTGATAATTTTTATTTTGCTTTGGCAAAAGCTCAGTACTGAAAGAAGCCATCTGATAATCTATGTCAACAAGGCACTCTGGGGTTAATAGGAAATTGTTTGCATGTGGTGTTTGCAAAAATGATTGCTAGTATTGTTGCAAATGATGGCATTATAATTATTTTTAAGAAGAGTTTTATTAGTCACGTTCAGGCAAAGCTAAGGGTAGAGAATATATAGTTTTTATCTTATCGTATATCTGGATAAGGCGAACCAAGGATTTAAACGACAGGAAAAATGTCACCATAAATGATTCAAGTTTCTGCTGGGGGTTAGATTAAATGTAGTTTTAGATTCTTGTCAAAAACAAATTAGGTAATGAGGACTTTTTAGATGTTACGTGATAAATTAGTTTATTGGAGTCTGATTCTTGTTTTTGTTGTGTTAAATTACTTTATGGACTAAGTAAGCTTTGTCATTGTATTTTTTTTTCTGTTTTTGATTATTTACCAAGATTTTCATAAAATTAATACATTTTTTTTTATACATGTTACCAGAAAAAAAATTAGCCAATAACTTTAATTCTAATTACTAGGCTTCAAGGAACCAACATTTTAGTCGCTGTTTGCTTTGTTTACTATTATGTATAAGATTCCCTACAGTAAAGTATGTTTCTTAAACTTTTATTTCAGGTTTAGAACATATTTTATAATTTCTGTATGTTTGGGATGTTTCAGATCTGCTCTCTGGTGAACATGGGCCGCCACTTTGGAGACTTAGCCAAGGTCAGGCATGTGATCACATACAGCCTGTCGCCCTTTGAGCAGAGGGCTTTCCCCAACTACTTCTCAAAGGGTCTCCCAAACGTGTGGAGAAGATTCACAGCCTCTTTCTTCAAAGTTGCCCCTCGTGAGTTCTTAAATGATTTAGCTGCTATACTGTTCATATTTGACCCATTTTGATTTTCATGTTATTGGTTCTACGCTATCAGACATTAATGTTTAAGTCTTTACATGTTAATTTGAACTAGTAATGTGTATATACAGTGTTTTCTGTTAAGTTGGATTAGGAACTCCTTGCTCTCTGCATGTTTAGCGTTTAGAAAAGACAAAGTGAATATCTGGCTGTATCAAAACCAAGGACTTAACATTTGCTAATTTTACTTCTTTTACAGCCATGGTCCTCATGTATCTGACCTACAGCTGGGGCAACAGTGTTCATGAGCAAAGCAAGAAGAAGAATCCTAGTGACTACGCCAGCGATGAATAAACTTTTTCCATCCCCTTAAAAGCTGCTCTGTTATATTTCAACTCTATGTAATCAATAAAATGAAAAGTATTTGTGTGAATCTGTCTGTTTCTTTTTCTCTTATGTTATATATTTTAACCCCTTCGGCAAGTGCAAAATCAGTGCTATGTGTTAAGAAAAAAGTATTTTGGAATACTTCATCTGCAGCATCTGTATGGACCATACTAGATTTGGTCTGTACAGGGAAATGTTTTTTTTTTTTTTTACTAATAGTTTGTATACATCTCTTCTATTTTCCTTCTTTCTTTAGACATCCCACTTTAAATTATCAATCCTTTTTATTGGAATAATTTTGCATA